GGCAACAATAAAAACAAAGGCTGCAATTAACGATTATTTTGCAAATCGATTATTTTAAAAAGGTTCCTTATAGAAGACTTTTTGCAAAATCAAATAAGATGAAGCTAAAACTTTTCAACTTGAGGAGTTCTGGATAGAGCATATTCACAGACAAATAGGTTTTTGTTATCTTAAATTAACATGTTAATATTTTTAAACAATTTTGATATAATTACTGCTCTAAGTGGGTTCCTCTGTCAGCTAAAGGCATGTTTTAGAGTCTCTATATTCCAGTAAACAATTAATCAATTACTAAATTAGTTGATGATTATTTATCAGGATAATTAATATATATAATTATACAATTAATTGTCTCAGCCCTAATAAAAACAAGCAAGTTTGTACTATTGGCCCTTATCCATTTTTTTTTTTTTTTTTTTTTTTGATGAAGCCAATGAAGCTGATTATAGCTGCATGTAGAATTTTATTTCAACCCTTTTTTTGTACTAGTGGCTCAGAGTTTAATTTTTTGGTGGTGTTTTTTCTCCAACAAAAAGTCTTTAATGGAATTACAGCGCAATTATGCTTGACTACTGTATAATCCGCATGGAAAATGAGCCGTTCGTCACAACATATGCAGCATTTATACTGTATTGCATTTCCCCCCTTTCTGGCCGGATCTCGTGAACACATCAGGCATAAACCAAGCATTAGTGTCCTTACCATTCTGCACAATTTGGATGGAGCCCTTGTCGGATCAGGAAGTTTCTTATTTAGAGTTTTGCCAACTTCTGATCACTTCACTTGGAGATATTTTCAGATATTTTAAAACTTTGGTCGAAGTAGTGCTTTAATTCTAGTCTACAGTTTGGCGGCAGAGCGCAGATTCAGCCTCCAGAACAGTATAAAAAACAAAAACAGTGAGTTTCCAAGGCAAAAGTCCCAAAAAAGATGACAAAATGCAACTTCAGACATTTAAATATACACAAGTCATTGCACTATTCAGGTCCATGCAGAGCAGGAGGAAGCTGTGAGACCATGTGTTAAGGCCACAGCAGGTTATCCGTTTTTCTTTCAGTGCCATCCTTTTTTTCATAATATCTTTATCTTGTAACCATGAACACATTCATAGTTTATTTTGTGACTACAGAGAAATTAACCTGAAGTTCTCTATTCAGCTTGTTCAGACTGAATATTTGGGCTGTAACTAATCATTTTGCTAATCGATTAAGCTGTCGATTATTTTTTAAACTAATCAACTAATAATCTAATAGCAAAAGGTTGCTTAAAGGAATTTTTTTATAGAATTTAAACCAGGTGAAACTAAAACTTTTGCACTTGAGGAGTTCTGGATAGAGAATATTGACGGACCCTAAAAATTCTGTAATAATTTCACAGTAATGTCATCTATGGCAAGCCGTTCTGATATTTAATAGTTTTACTGAAAAATCCTGTTTTAGAGTCTCTATACTCTAGTTCACAATAATATGGATTTGCTAAATTAGTTGACAGTTATTTCAGAAATCCGTTACCGTAATTCGATTAATAATTTCAGCCCAACTGGATATTAATTGAAATAATGAAAATAAATGCTTCAGAAAGTCCAATTTATCAGAAATAATAGTAATAAAGATTTTAAAAAGTGAGATGGAAATCCCCTGACCTTTTCAGTCAAATTGACAGACAAAAAAAGTCTAATGCTACCTCTGCTCAGGAGTCTTACTTTTAAAATGCTGTCATTGCTTTACAGGCTTTACAAGGGATTGCCTTGTTTCCCTACAAAACCGCTTACTGTTTTTCCAAGAATAAAATACTAGGGTGACAAGACATAGATCCACATCAATTAAATAATCTAATTAGATTTAAGCAGAATGAAAATATCAAACTACCTCGTCGTCTTTAAGATACGCTTTAACCATACTGGGTGAGAATGTACAGGTGATTTAAGTGTATCTTTTTTATAAAAAAAAGAAAAAGTTTCCTTAAGCTGAATGAGTTGTAAATGATTGCATTAGATTGATTAATAATATGCAAACAAATCAATGGCAAACTTTCTATATAATAATAATAAGGCTGTTGATTTTAAGGCCTATAGAATTGTTCCTTTTATAACAGCCGGGATAAAAACATCACAGGAAAAGAAGTGACTGACTCGTACGTATCACTTAAATTTACTAAAAATGGTTTTCCTAAAGACACAGAAGAAACTCCTAATGATTTTGCTGAACTTTTTCCTTCTTTAAGCATAAACCATTACCAAATATATTAAACAGACTATGGATCCCTGGCCTGTGAAGTCTCCCTTCAAATTAACTGATCAAAATACGCAACGGCACTCCCATGACTATACATGGGAGAGGATGGATTAATGGATCATGGTACCAACAAATTAAATCATACTAACTGCGACAAAAGGTCCTGTAAAAGAATATTTATTTAAAGCAATTAAAAATAGCTTTAGCTCTTCATCTAGTTTTATTTTTGATGCAATGTTCTCTATATTTTGTGCGCTTGGCGCCAGCTTTTAAATCAACGTTGAGTAGAAGGTGGAGCAAACTGCAACATATCAGCACTACGATTTGTTACTCTTCTTCTTTACTAGCCAGATTATCCATCCATCCATCCATCCATCCATCAACATAATCGCTTATTCCCTAAAGGGGTCACGGGGGGGACTGGAGCCTATTGCAGTAGTCAATGGTCTTAAGGTGAGGTACATCCACTGATCTCCATTTATTCTCTGGATATGGATTGATTGACTTTATTGATCTCACCATAGACTAATGTACTCATTACATCAGCTCAAATAGTCAAAGAAGAATGTGCATAAGAAAAAAAAGGTCCATGGGATATATATATATATGGAGAATTTGATGCTTTTTATATTTTCTCCGTTAAAGTGCTTGTCTGACGTCATCATCGGACATGCTCAGAGTAGTCCAGCAAATTATGATTAAACCATGTTTACCTGCATTTTAGTTGTGTCTTTCTTTAGATTGTGCATCATAAGGTTAACATGAATGGAAAAAATGAAACTTGAAAAATCTAGATTTATGCTTAAATACAAAGCAGAAAAAATGTGCTCCCGGAAGTAGCGTAGGATTCTATTTCCGACACAGATCGGGCACAGATGACCAATAAAACAGAAAGGATTTTAATTCATTTATTTTGTCATTATTTACCTTTAACACATTATAGTTTAGTACGGTTACTATTTTTAAGGAGGGAAAAATGTAATTAAATTTTTTTTTTACAAATTAAAATCAAGGTAGACCCAGATGTATATGCACATTTACAAATGAGCCGATGGCACTGATCGTGCTTCCGGTACGGATCAGGTAGTGACACAGAGATCCAGAAAATAAATAGAGATCAGTGGGCACACCCTGGACGGTCCAACAGTCCATTGCAGGGCCACACAGAAACATGCAAAAACAATCACACAAACTTACTCCTAAAATGTCAAATCAACCTAAAATGCATTTTTTTTGGACTGTGGGAAGCCGGAGAACCCAGAGAGAACCAACACAGACACAGGGAGAACATGCAAACTCCACACAGAAAGGTCCTGGTTGTTAGGCGATGGGGCCAACCACCACACCAACGTGCTGCCCTCCAGCCGGAATAAATAACCACGAAGTGACTTACAATGGCAAAAAAATTTTTTTTTTAATTCCAGATTTCCAAATCAAGTTACTTTTTATTTGAAATATCTCGCACTGGAGGAGCTGCAGAAAACAAATCTATTTTTTGTATATTTTACTCATAACTACTCTTTGCAAAGCACTGATAATGTCTCTGCAGCTGTTTGGCCCTAAGGTGATCATTGGAAGCATTTTTTCCAGTGCCAGCACCATTTTGTTCTCTTTTAGATCTCTGCAAACAAAATCTGAAATGAAAGAAAAATCTGTAAAGATAGATTAGGCAGCTCAGGGGCCTCATGCACGGTACGACGTCAGCAGAGTGACAACCGAAACCCACTTCTGTTCTCAGGAAAGCCCCTGACCGACTCATTCATGTACAAAACATAAATAAAACGTGTGCATTATTCATCACAGGATGAGCTGGTTGCAACAAGACAGTTCCTCTGTGTAGGTGGGTGGACACTTGACTGCAGCTGATAAACAGGCCCTGACCATCTGGGACTTTCTCTCTCCTACCTGTACAACCCCCCCTCTAGGTTGCAGTCAGTGTGTTCTGTGTGCACTCTGCATGTTGTGCAATAAACCAGCCTCACTTTGGACTTCTGGGAAAACACAGAGGGGAGGAAGACGGAAAAAAAAACTTGAGCTGCATTTACTGCAGCTGTTTCCCCCCCTAAGAGCTACATGCAAACTGTCTGCACTGAAGGTCCCATAGAGCTGAGAGTCTGGGGGCCTGTAGCTGCTGAAAGCTGCAAGACTTTGGGGTCAAAGTGTGACAAGCATGCTGCACATCGGTGCACTCCCAGGTGTTTCACTCATATCCAGTATCCTGGAAAAACACAGCAGCTGACACCCTTTCCCTTGCAGACTTTTAAAAGACTGTGCAGCTCTTCAGCTCTCCACCTCCTTAAAGCCAACTTTCTATTTATAGATCTTTTTTTCTATTTTGTCTTGAAGAATTGCAGGAAAAAAAAAAATCTGAACACTGACAGCTGCAGGTTGTGCCACTCTCCTGCAACAAAGCTGCACACTTTTGGCCCTGGGCATGACATAGCACTTAGGATTTACCTTGAGCAGTGGCATCAACTCGTGCGGAGTTGATTAAAAAGAGTTCAAGTGTCCTTGTCTTTTCTCGTGACTATGCCCAACATCCCCTGGCTGTGCACTGCTATTAGCGTCAGTATGAGAGCACACAGCATCGTCTTACCAGGAACTGTGCAAAGGGGAAGATCTCAAACAGGAAATGCAACTGACCCTCCTAAGCCTTGTAACTTTAAAATGCACCGGCCGTGCTCGGGCTACAGCCGTGCACGTTGCAGTCCGTGCAGCTGTGATTGCATGAGGCTAGTTTTGCACATATCAGCTTCATGTTCTTACCTCCCTTTGGCTGAGGCATTTCCCCTCTGCTTTGATGAGGGGGAGGGGAAGCACAAAAGACTTTGCCTTCTTTCTCGCTCCCTCCCTCCATCGCCCTCGTACTGGAGCTTTAGCGGCTTGCTTTGCAACAAAGATGCAAAATACAAGCCTCGATCTTCATGCACTTGGAGGCTTGTTGGGTCCGAGGCGTGCGTGTCCGTGCACGGCGCGCGGGTACGGATGCACAGCCCGCGCGGTCGTCGGGAAAACGGATAATTTTGCAAATGCGCTGCAAAGAATTCTCCGCAGCACTTACATGATGAGCCAAGGCTGGCAGCTGAAAGCTCCTAACTTGGATCAGAGTGAGCCCCTGCGAGACGACGTTCTTCCTGCTTTGCGACGAAAAGGATTATGGGAAATTGAGTCGAGAAAATAAAACGGCGCGAAGCTTTTAATGACACAACAATCAAGTTTTACTACAATCTAAAACAATCTTAACGCCCTAACATGTCTTAAAACAAAAGAAAAAAAATCTAAATAACGATATTTAATTTCCATTTTTAAATTAGATTTTTTTTTGTTGAAAATAAAATATAGTTTATAAAAATAAAAACAAAAAATAAAATTTGAGCAACAGTTTTTAAATTATATGATATTTACTGCTTAAAATTTACATTCATAACTATCTATATATCTTCACTCTTGAGATTAGAGAAAAACGAAATTGAAAATGTGAAAATGTCACCCTTTAAATGACAAATATGTGAACCCGCTTAAGCCCCGCCCTTCACTATATTTGAGCAATGACGCCATGAAGCGAATTATTGCCTTTACAAGAACAAATTGAGGATTGAACACTTATTTTGGAGATACTATTCTATATGTTGTGATATTTTTTATCAATGTTTTGTTATTTGTAACTTTTCAATAAAGTTTTGGATAAAAAAAAAGAACAAATTCAGTAGTAAAGGGTCCAAATCTAGTAATAATAACCTAACTATAATATCTGCTAATTAACTTTGACAAGAACAAGATTACCTTGAGGGCATCTATTTTAGGCTTAGTTTATATAATTCAATGTTTACTTTTAAATTATATTGATTTCTGTGATCAAAGTTAAATGTGCAAAAAGGTGCTTTTAATGTTTTTACTTAAAATTGCTGGGGGAGAAAAAATCCCATTCTATATTCCTACACAGGTACCTTCTGTTATCTCTTTATTCATTGTTTGGTTATAAGTACTATATCTATTTATAAAAAGATCATAAATAAATGAAAAAAACGACAAATCTGTTATTATTATTATTCAAACTAAATTATTTTAAAAAATACGAAGAAAGAGATCAAATCTTTAAGTCTCAGTAGCGAATGATAACCCTTATATAAAATTTTGATGAGTTGTTTTATGTCAAATTAAATATTTTTTTTATATATATATCAAAAAAGGTTGCTAGGAAAATAAAGTACAAATAAATAAAATGGCATCTGTGTATTTAGAAAATAAACTGAAAAATAGAAAATGTTAATACACTATTGGCCAAAATTTAAAATGAGTATAATTTTTGTTTTGTTTTTATCTTTTATTTATTTAATTAATGAAATTTGACATTTTATATTATTATTAAGTATATTGCTAAATTGATAATATATTTATAAATATATTAAGTTCTTCTTGTGGGTAAAGATAGTAAAAAAAAAAAAAAAAGCTAAATTTTCTAATCAAGCTGAGTTATTCTTTTTTTTTGGTCAAAAATATATTTTAATTATTTTTTTTTTCTTGTTATATTTGAAAAAGAATAACAAACATGAGATGAAATTAAAAAAGGGTTTGCTGTGTTTTTGTCTACATTATTTTCAACATCTATCAAATATAGATTTACCTAAACCTGCTAAATAAAAATGCATTTATTATTTTAATGTGTCTGAATAAGAGTGTTAAAGATTGCTTTAGTTTTAATTTAATTTTAAGTGGATTTTAAAAACACTTCCCCTAATCTGTCTTTTTTTCCCTTGAATTTTATGTTTTCATTCTCACAGCTACTATAAAAATCAGAATTAGGTCTTTTTTTTGAGTCCTAAAACATAATTAACAATTTGTTTGTTGGGTTCTAAGTTCAGGATTCTTTCTTTCATTTTTCTGAAGTCTTTTAGAGCTTCCAGCAGGTTAACCTCCATAATGACGTCCACACATATTTACCAGATTCTATGCAGCTCATGGTCTCTGCAGCTCCTCATGAGTTAACATGGACCTCTTGGCCGTTTCTCTGATCAAACTTTCCTTGCTAAACCTGTCAGTTTAGGTGGATGGTCAAGGCCGGGATAGATATGTGGTCTTGCCTTTTTTCATCCTTTTTCTAATGCTGGATTGAACGGTGCAATGAGATGTTTAAACCTCGGGACAATGCTTTGTAACCTAACTGTGTTATAGATGTCTCTAAAATATTCTCTGTGACCAGCTCTGACTACGTTCTCATCATTCCGTTTGTTCTCAAATGTTTTTTGCAGAACAGCTGTCATTATTTTAAGCGTTAAATTACCCCTGGATTCAATGTTTTTCATATTTAGGCATTTTGACAAATAACACTTTAGTTTCAGTTATTAAACTGAATGAGGTGAATACAATGCATACCACACTTATTTTCATGTGTACAACATTTTAGAAACTGTATGTCCTTTTCCTTCACGTCATACCAATGTCATATGTAGTTGATTGGTTTAATTAGAGTGAATACATTTGCAAAGCACTTTAGTTTTGATAATCAACAACACACACAAAATTGTAAAAGCCTTTATTAATAAGTAACATGAGGTCATATACAGACACAACAATACTCTAAAAACTAAATGATTAAGTTTGAGACATCTACTGTTTTAAAGTAGAGGGTATAAAATTAAAGAAAAGGAAAAAATAAAACCAAATCCTCGGGTAAAAAATGAAGCAGGAGAAGCAATTGTTTTATGATCTATCGATCAAATATATTATATGGTTTCAACACATAACACTCCTTCTTGAGCCCTAAAAGATTGTATGTTACAATGTATTTAAAGAAAAAATCATTTGATCAATGCTAACTGACTGAGAAATTAGCACCATAACAATATTTAGCTTGAACAAACCTGCTGGATGTTCTTCATCCTCCCACTGTCAATAATTCAAAATAAGATCATAAAAAAGGCTAAATAATTGTTGAATTCCTAATCCACATTGGTGTCCTTGTAAAAGCTTTTTAAGCATTTTGGATTTTCAATGGGATTTAGTCGATAGTGCAACAACTGGGAGCAGCACCAAGCTATGAGATTTTAACTCTGATTTCCTTCTTGAATATTGTCATCAGACAAGAACACTCAAAATCTTAGTTGCCCAATGAAAACAGTACTTTTATGTGAAAAGACACAAAGAAGACCCAGCTAGGATTCAGATATGAATGAGGGCTGGATTGGTCAAATTAGAAGGATCAGTTTTTAGGGGTTATGAGGGTTTGGTATAATGGTTTCACCACAACATGGAGAAAGAGGGAGCTGTCAATGAGGTAATCAGATGTGCGCAGATACAGGTCGGCTTCGGCTAAGAAGTCACCATTTTCCTCCGTGCTCTGGTGGAAGTTGTAGACGTGCTTGACGAACAGCTTACCATGCTGTTGAGCCATTACAAGTACCGTTTTCTGGAAGTTCACACCTGCAAAATCTGCACTGGATGTGGCTGGAGTGATTATGATGCGAGGGCGCCCTCCTTCAACACGAGTCGGCTGCATGGCACCAGTCTCTGTGTACATCGGCCTCATGCTGAGAGGTAACCAGCGTGGTGAGAACATGGCATTCCAGGTCACTCGTTTGCTGGCATCGTGGCTGCTGGGCCCCAGTTGAGTTTGGAAGCTGGTGCTGCGGTCATCCCGTGTTGGATTGTTGATAATCCACGGTGAACCCCAAGCTGTAGACAGGTAATTTCTTGGGACAAAAAGGCTACAATTCACATCAAAGAATTTTGCCATCTGTAGTGGCGAGGCAGAGTGAAACTGGTAGGACATGTACAGCAGGTCACGGACTGACTCCTGATAGCGAGCCAGGACTGTAGATTGGGTCTGAAGACGGAAAAGCTCCCTGGGGGGCATCATGGCATAACGTACAGCTCTTAATGCATTCTCCACAGTCAAACCATCAGGCTCGTTATTGATAATCCAGGCCTCCAGAGCTGCAAACAGCTCCATCTCACTCTGGAGGACAAGGTCAGAGCGCTGCAGCAGTGTCATGAGCAGTTGGCTGCTGATGGTCACCCATTCTCCGCTCTGCAGCACTGCAGACAGGTTCCAGGCCAGGTACTGCAGACATTTATCCCTCAGGTCAATGTCCCCTGTCTGCAGAGCATACTCATACCAGCCTGCCACATGACCTGAGGGGGAGTCTCTAGCCAGATTCTGGGTCATATAGAGGGTGACACCCTGCTGGAGACTCTGCACTTGGTACTTGGTGGCCAGCTTGTGCAGAGGAGTGGCCTGTTCAAGACGAAGAGAAATTTCTCCACAATACAGATATCTAAGAAAAAAAGACATCCAATTAACTTCTTCAACGCTGACCCACAGAACGACAAAACGTTACACATATATATAAATATATCTTTCAAGATTTATTGCTGTACAAGTAGGCAGTAGTCTGTATTTAATGAAACGCCAAAGATATCAAGGATTGTAAGCTAAAGGTGAAAAGTGCCTCAGGTGAGCTTTAAAGCTGGGTTAATAATCCTTGGTGGGTTCGTTGCTTTAAATGATCCATTTCTAATTAAGGTAGACCTATTTAAATTCTATTTAACTGGATATTATCCATCCATCCATTATCTGACATATTTGTCCCGAGTGGGGTCGTGAGGGGTGCTGGTGCCTATCTCCAGCAGTCAATGGGCGAGAGGCGGGGTACACCCTGGACAGGTCGTCAGTCCATCGCAGGGCAACTCAGAGACACACAGGACAAACAACCATTCACACACACACTCACACCTAAGGGGAATTTAGAGAAGCCAATTAACCTCACAGTCATGTTTTTGGACTGTGGGAGGTAGCCGGAGTACTGGATATCACATTTTTCATAATGCATCTTAAAACCTTTTAGTTCATTTAAAACACTACATTTTCTAACATTATCATAGTAGAAACCCAAAGCAAAGGACTGGTATGCATTATTGTTGTTTACAGTTGAAATTGAGAGAAACCTAATAGAATGACCAAATCTCTACTTTTGTCTGTGTTTGTAGTCCATAAAACATTGAAAAAATGTTATATTACCGGTACTGTTTTTTGAGTAATTAACAAAAAAAGAATCCCAACCCATCCCATAATAATAGTCATACTAAGTTATTCTTGCCAATTATTGTGCTGCCTTTCCTCTATGCTTGGTGGTTTTGATAGCCTTTCATAGCTGCTCTTGTTGTGACACGTAGTGTTTGTGATCTTCTAATGTGCTATATGTTTTGTTAACTCATTTAGCTTTGGATCAACATGTTTTTTTTACATTTAGCTATATTCAGATGTTTGCTGCAAATTGGTGTGAGGGATTGCTGTCGAGTCAATGAGTCGATGAAATCAGCTGGTTTTCCTTATATAGAAAACTTCTAATCAATCTGACTGTATGATCTTGTTGGATTGTCTCTGCAAAATGCCTTGAGATGACATGTGTTGTGAATTGGTGCTAAACAAATAAACTTAATTGATTTGAAGTTAATTTGTGTTGCCCTAAATCACTCCAAAGATCAGTTTGTGTTTTTTAAGAACTTTGAGTTGCAGCTCTGGTGTGCTCTTGGTACTTTTGGTTGTTCATTTTTACATTTGTTGCATAAAGGGACAAAAAAAAAACAATAAACATAGAACTGATAAACCTAAAGTCTGGGTTTTGGTTTCTTTCCCTTGACCATAATTGACCCTGGGGTTGTAACTTTAAATAGGAGAGGTTGAGTATTCATTTTGAAGCATTTTTTACAGTGGTATGGAAAAATATGCACTAAGATTTTAAGAGGGTACATTTTAGGTTCAATTTCATTGACTGGAATTACTGATAAATTAGGCTGTACATTCAAGAAAAGCTAACCTGTGTGGTATCGAAAGCACAACTGTAAGTCCTGGGAAAGTAGGCCATACATTACTTAATACGTAAATTAAGAAAAGTAAAGTGTATATTCTCAAAATGTCTCAAACATGTGTAATGGAAGTACTTAAAACACACCTTTTGGGGAAAATATTCATACATTTTTGAAAATTGCACCATAAGTTTCAGGAGATACTTTTATGTTCAGGAAAGTACCATAACTTAAAAAAAAAAAAAAAAAACTCCATACAACATTTCACAATATGCTGCATGAAAGGAACACTGTAATTTCCAGAAAGTGACACATACATTTTGGGAAGTAGACTGTTATCCAAGATACAGCCAAGTTCCAAAAGCTGCCATGTAGAATCTAAGACACTGGGTAAGCTCAACAAAAGTGATTCTTATGATATTAAAGATAATATTTATATAAATACCTATTTAATACCCTGTGAAATAACTATATATATAAATACCTATTTATATAAATCCCTAATTATTACACTGTGCAACAACCTGTGCAATAATCCTGTTTAATAAGAGACTTCAGCTATCATATATAAATATATATGTGGACACACTGTATACAGTATATCCCATGCACCCTTTCCTCTTTTTTGCAACTTCTTTTTGACTATTGGGCCGATGTGACAGGTGTATATCTCCATTGTGAGATCAATAAAGTCTATCTTATCTTACTGAAAAGTACTATATATGCTCAAGAAAAAAAGTCACAAGTTTAAGGAACTGGCCAACAGATTTCCAGAAATTATGCTTTAAGAACAGAGAAATTTCAGGAAAGTAATTTGTAAGTTAAGGAAAATCCCCCATGAGCTCCAGAGAGCTCAACCTATATGTCCTGGGACAGTAACTTCATTCTCAAAACCCTGCACCATTAACCCTTAAATTATTTTCAAGTAGCTCTAACTTCTATTATAACATGTAAGTGACTCATAAATTTAAGAAAGGCTGCCTTATTTTAAGATAAAATAACATTCCAATAAATGGAAAAATTGATGCTGCTCGTTCCTTTATGTCCTGGAAAAAATACCCTGTTCCTGTCAGTAGTTGTCGTGACCTCTGTAATTGATGACCAACTATAAACCCAGTACAATGCATCATAAATTCCAGACAGTACCAAATAGGCTGAAATATGAAAGTTAGTAAAAAAAAAAAAAAAAACTCAGTTTAAAAAAAAAAAATGTAAAGAATACTTTTGAACCATTTTCCAGAATTCTAAGTAATTATTTCTTAGAATCTAGTCACCACTAAAACATCACAAAAATGTTAAAGAAATATGCTATTTTTTTCTCAGTTACTATTTACACGTGGATGACATAAAAAGCATGTATCATAGTTTGGTTTTTCAAATTCTTGTTCTTTACCAATAGCTACTGACATCTCAATTAGCTTAAATTCCTATGTTAAATAACTAAAGTTATAGCATAGAAATATTTTACAACATTCACTTGTTTGATTGCAAATGCACCCTCATGTGCATATTTGTAAAATGAATCTTTTTTTTTGTTATTGATCTTATTGATTACTGACTCTACTCTGTCTCTTGCAATAGTTGCACCAGAGACGACCTCAGTGAGCAGCTCAGCTATTTCCCACATTGTTAAGTTTTCTGTTGAATTTTGCATAGGTTTTCTTGACTTTGAGTGTAAGGCAATGTGCAGACCATTGCATGTCACGATGGCTTAGTTTGGCTCTTCTGATGGGATGGATTGGGGGTTCGCAGCCCTGGCCTCACCTGATGAACTTGTCAAACACAGCGGCGCAGTCCGAGCTCTCTCTTAGCACCATAGTGCTGCTGTTGTGGCTCTGCAGCATCCCTGCAAACACTGGGCTCTGCAAGGAGAGCACCAAGGAGTGAGCTTGGATCATCTTCACTTCATCTGCATTGGGCGTCTCCACACGTAGAGACACATCACTTCCATTCCCCTGAACCAGCAGGGCTTCCAGACGCTGCACCAGGACTTTTGAGTGGCTGATGGTGTTACCTTCAATGCCTTCGTCCTGGCTTAGCTCAACTTTCAGCAGGCCTATTACCAGAGAAGGAGGGGGAAAAAAATTGAGGAATTGGAGAAGTTAGTGCAAGTCACACCCAGAACTCAGATTACATTCAGAACCTGCCAGCAAGTTGCATGTGACTTTTTATTAGGGCAGATAGTGGAGCAGTATCATGAAAATCCATGGCATTGATCAGCCCAGCTGCCCTCTGTGTGTGAATAATGAAGGATTGTGGGTCATGATTAATTGAATCTTTGTCCCTCCTCCTGCGGCCTTTTCTCAATGCTGGACTGGGTGATTTTACAAACCGCATGGATCTGAGCATAGATTTGTGTCAGGAAAAAATTCTGGTTCCTCTTTTTGATTCTCATAAATGTTTGACACTTCCTTCCCCAAACTTCATGCAGACAGAGCGCATTTTGAATGCATTGCCTGCATATGAGGCTCCAGTGAGTCAGTCAACAGAGAGCAGAAATCTTTAATTAATAGTAAAAGTTACGCAAATCTTTTTGTAAAGATATTTTGTAAATATATTTGACACAATTCCAATTATTTGAATTCTTTCACTCACTTTTAAAGACACAACGTGCATTTAATTGTCATTCAATCCAAAGATATTAAACATCCCTTGTTTTTTGTCTTTGCTTGCTACATTGCATCAAAGCCTCCTTTTCAATATTAACTGGTTCGTTTCAATCAAACCCTGATAAGTTTTTGTTTTTGTGTTTTTTAGTAGCAGCTTACCTGCAGCAGCCTCAATCTGGAACCACATGGTAAGAAGCAGCATCCATGCCTTGATGATATCAGTCTGTTTCCTCATCTTTTCTCCTGTCTGTCCTCACTGCTGCTGGAACATCTAATTCCTGGAGCCCAGCTGCATGAACATCTAAACAAAGCTCACTACAGTCATTGATTAGTGGGTGGAAACATATGGGCGTTGATGCCATGATTATAATTTTGACTGACTGACTTCCATCCATCCATTTTCTGTCATGCTTTATCCCTGCTGGGGTCACGAGGGGGTTGGTGCCTATCTCCAGCAGGCAAAGGGCGGGAGGTGGGGTACACCCTGGACGGGTCGCCAGTCTATCGCAGGGCAACACAGATACAAAACCATGCAAACATTCACGCCTAAGGAGAATTTAGAGAAGCCAGTTAACCTAAACGTCATGTTTTTGGACTGTGGGAGGAAACCGGAGCAACCGGAGAGAACCCATGAATGCTCTGGGAGAACAGGGAGAACTCCATGCAGCCCAGTGACTGACTTATCCTCATCAATATT